GGGGACCGCATCGGCTGCGGCGTCGAGAGGGGCTCATTCGGGGCCCCCCCAGCCCAGGTGTTCTTCACCAAGAACGGCCAGAGGGTGAGGGGACCCCCAAAACTCACCAGAGCACCCCCAAACCTCCCACCACCCCTAAACAGGAGTCCCTCCCCCAGCTGTTCCTCACAAGGGGTGGACAGAGAGTGAGGGGGCACCCAAAACTCCTGAACCCCAAATCCTCCAGAGTGCCCCCAATTCTCAGTGTCCCTAAATCCCAGATGGGGGATCTTGGGGTGCCCTTCTCCCTGCCCCCATCACCCTGTGACTCCCTCAATAGCAGGTGGGGGGTCTGGAGGTGTCCCCATTCCTGATCTGCCCATCTCTGTACCCCAATAGCAGCTGGGGGGTTTGGGGGTTTGGGGGTGCCCCCGTTCCCCTTGGGGCTGTTCCCCTTGACCTCTCCCATACCCTGATCACAGGCTGGAGGTCTGGGGGTGCCCCTGTTCCCCCCGGGGCAGTTCCCCCTGACCTCTCCTGTGCCCCAATAGCAGCTGGGGGGTCTGGGGGTTCTGGGGGTGCCCCTGTTCCCCTTGGGGCAGTTCCCCCTGACCTTCCCTGTACCCCAATCACAGGTTGGGGGTCTGGGGTGCCCCCATTCCTGATCTGCCCATCCCTCTCCCCTGTACCCCAATAGCAGGTGTGGGATCTGGGGGTGCCTCTATTCCCCCCGGGGCAGTTCCCCCTGTTCCCCCTGACCTTCCCTATACCCCAATCGCAGGTGTGGGATCTGGGGGTGCCCCTGTCCCCCCCAAGACCGTTCCCCCTGACTTCACCTGTACCCCAATCACAGGTGGGGGGTCTCCGAGTGCCCCTATTCCCCCTGGGCTGTTCCCCCTGACCTCCCCTGTACCCCAATAGCAGCTGGGGGGTCTGGGGGTTCTGGGGGTGCCCCTGTTCCCCTTGGGACTGTTCCCCTGACTTCCCCCATACCCCAATCACAGGTTGGGGGTCTGGGGGTGCCCCTGTCCCCCCCGGGGCTGTTCCCCCTGTTCCCCCTGACCTTCCCTATACCCCAATCGCAGGTTGGAGGTCTGGGGGTGCCCCTGTCCCCCCCGGGGCTGTTCCCCGCTGTGGGGCTGCACTCTCTGGGGGAGGAGGTCCGGCTCCACCTGCCCCCCCCCGGGCCCCCCGGGCCCCCCGAGGATGAGGTGGGGGCSATGCTGGTGGACAGCCTGGAGGAGGAGTGGGGGCGGCTCCACGACGTGCGGCTCTGCGGCTCCGTGAGCACCCCAAAACACGGGGGGGGTTTGGGGTGGTGGGAGAGGGGAAAAGGGGGAGCATTTCCCTGACTGGGGGTGTTCAGAGAAGTGGGGAGGGGTTGGGAGAGGTTGGACCTCCTCCATGGGCTGGGAGGTYAAAAATTGGGGTTACAAGGGGAGGAAAATTGGGGTGTGGGTGTTTGGGAAAGGCAAAGGGATCCTCAGTTTTGGGGGGCAAAAAGAGGGGATCCCAGTCGTGGGGAGGGAAGGAA